AAAAAAGATAGTAAGCAAATTAAAGCTTAGTCACAAGAATGTATTTCCCACAGGAATGACAATTTTATCCTGTGGGAACAGCTAGACAGGAATTCAGCCTCCACGGAGGACTAGTTTGAACATGCACAGATCTGGCGCTCGCCCAAGTGCCCGGCTAAACCCCAAAGTAGGCGACAGTTCATAAAACTACAGATCACTTTATAATCATAATGACATTACACTCCATTAGAGTGTAAGCAGGTGGCAGGATGAAAGAGCTTTGTGTGTATTTGGTCAGCGAGGGGGACCGACCTGACAGGCTGCGGCATTTTTAAATCCGTTAAAAGCAACTGGTGGCCCCAAATGCAACAAAGGACATGTGTGACCTGTTTGGACTGCTCATTCACAGAGCCGCTGGTTTGGTTTAGCAGGAGGGAGAGGAAAAAATCAAAAAAAAAAATCACAGCACTTACATTCCTCTCATGTTCGGAGTTTATTTGAGCATAAATGCATTAGCGGTGCTTTGATAACAATATCAACCCAGGCACACACTTCCTTTCCCCTCCTGCACCAGCGCACACAGGTCCGGTAGCATTTACAGACATCACCGGGAACAATCGTGACACATACCAGCGAGTGCACGGGAGCATTTCACATCCCTGCACGAGAGGTCGGTCAACATGTGACTCGTAAATACACACTGGCCTGCTGCGTCACCTCAGGTTGTTGCTTTCAGTCCCGTGACTTAAGCATGGCACTTCACAGGCCAATGCTCTTAGGGCAGACTGAGGCCAAACGGCTTGCAGGTCCGACTAAGCTGAGCTCATCAGGGAGATTTGCAATGCACATTTTAGATTTGAATGAAAAGCAAACTGGTGTAGCTTCGGGTTAGCTTGGACGTGGGATCAAACTCGGGCTCCTCTCTGCTGACATTGTGAGAATTAGTTATAATGTGCTCTACATGCAAATGCAAACTGATATCAGTGCGCTGATAACAATCATTTGACCTATAAAGCGCCATACGCAAGAAAGTATACCGTGTAAACACAATGTGCCGGCTGCTGGTGAAGCTGCGGAGGAAAGTCATTTTTAAGGTTTTATTTATGCAGCTGCCTTTTATTCAGACCAAATCAGAGTGTGAAAAACCCCGACGCTGACTGTGTCCCCCCATGTTGGAGCTCCTGATGCTGTCAGGCTGGGATTCATGTGACAAAAAGGCCACAGAGGCCGTGACAGCAACAAAACCACAGCAGTGCCTTTGAGTAACCTCTCCCCAGGGGGAATCCTCTTACAGCACTTCCCCTAAACTCTTTTCTAAAGAAACATTGTTATGCGCGCATCACTAGAACTCAACAGGTTAAACTTAAAGATGCAGAAAGTGTTAAAAAACAAAGGCTGGACTTTACGGGAATTAAACAGTTTCACTTGAATACATCATCCCATCCTGTTACTTCCTTTTCTGAGTGAGGTCGTTAGACGGAGCAGACAGATTTCTGCATCTTACAGAATATGTTTGGATTAATCTGACACTTGTTCTCCTGATGCATATACACACAGTTGCTCCAGCGTAAGGCTTGCTAAAAATGGATTAATGATGCTTGTGGTGGCTATCCAAACATAGACTCTACTTTCCTGATAGAGCCGGCACTAAAACAGGGGTAAAGGATGCCTTAATAAGGGTGAGGTGTCTGGCCAATGTCTGTTCTTGCTCCCATATAGGAACTCTGTTTCAGCCAGATAAGGATCATGAGCCATCATTGCCCTCACCTTCCTATCCTCTCCAGAGATAAGGTTGCTGAAGGCACCCGTCAGTGAAGCTACTCAACAATCCTTTTATTTTTCCCAGGTTCGAATTTGGTGAAAGACAAAAGCACATTGAGCACGTTTGTCACCTTTCTGACAAGATAACCGACATCTCAGCCCTTTGGTGGGAGACAGAACAGTGCTTGCACATGCTTGTCATTAAGGACGTGTTGATCTGATATTTGGATAAGATATCCAAGTATTAAGTTGGTGGTGTTTCACTGCAGCTACACCCACTGTGGTCGAAGTGAGCGGACGCACCTGAAAAGCTCCCACAGTGACGATGCTTTCACTGTCTTGGTCTCGCTTGGTTTGTGTTCGCTTCGCCACTTCTTTGGAAGCTCTTGCTGGACTTGATTTCACTTCAGCTGTCTCCTGTCTGCTCCAATCCACACTCGATAAGTGTGTGTGAGGAGCAGGTAAAGGATGCGCACTCAGACTGAGAGGATGTAAAGGACAAACCAGCGTGAACGCAATTAACAGCAACCTAATGACGCTCACGCTGAGCTGAAATGAGACTAATGAAATTTAGGTGAATGAAGTTAAGGAAGCTGAGCTGAGGCATAAAAGAATTGGTCTCGGTCTGTTCCACACAGTGAGGATTTACATCTTACTAATGTAACCTGGTTATCAGATTTTTGGGTTCTGGATCGGATTGGAAGTGGAAAAAAATTGGATCAACACACACTTGCTGCTACTCTTCTACTTACTATTGAGTAGATGAGCAAAGCTTGGTGAAAATAAGTCCATCACTGAAGTTTACATGTCCAACCTGCTTTACAGACACAGAGCTTTGAAATTTGATAAGCCAGGATACATTTATGGAAAACGCTGCAGGACATTTAGGCTGTATTGCAAAAGCAAAAAAGCAAAAAGCCACACAGTAAGACTGTATTTACAGATACACTGATTCCTCCCAGCAGCTGCAAGGTGGAAAAGAAAAATCTGAATTACATCCTATTCAGGTGTTTGTATATATTGAATGCCACCCTCACCATTAAAACACTGCTGTTGTGTATTCAAGACTATATTTGGAAAATGACTAGCAGCATGTCTAAGCCTTAATTTCAAAATCATCACAATGAGCTAAAAATGCATTTACTGAAAACATGGTGTGTTCTCAGGAAAGTGCGGTCAGTTCCCTGGGGGACGTAATCCCACACATGACATATGGCATACCAGTCACAGAGCACTGCAGGTCCAGCTGGGAGATCTTGTGGTGAAGCAAATGTGCTTCAGGACATTTCCAGTCCCCACACATAGAAAACAACAACAACAATGTTTGAATTGAAAGGGATCAAGAGTGACAATAAACATCCACCAGCGACCACTTGATCCGCTGCAACAATGGAGGTGTTTAACAACAGCTTCAATACACAAGAGCAGCCCCTGTCCAGCTCGGGGAAACAGCCCGAGGCAAACGGGAGTAAAGGTCTGCACAGAGTGCTTCCTGAGACTTTCATTTGGCTTCTGTCACACGCACAGCAACTCTGCAAACAGCCGTGTTCGGTGTTGGTGCGAATGGTCAACAAGCGGCCGTGACCCTGCTCCGGGTGTGCGCTTTCCTTCAGTTTGACGCCGTTTGGCTTTGGTATGAAAAGATTACACAAGGTTTCCTTCAGTCAAACAACACGAGTGGTTACGTGCTGTGTTATGGCTGTGGACGGTGCAGCGGTCACTGAGGACCGAAAGAGGCCTTTTCTTCTCTGTGAAAACTGGTGGTGGCTTTTGGCCCTCCTTTAAAAAGGCTCTTTGCTTTTCTTTAACAAAGAAAATGTTGGCGCATGAGCACAGCCAACCCAGGGAGAGGTTTAAATGACCAAAGGAAGAAGTGCAATATCACAGCGCTTCATTTTTTTGCAGCTCTGACTGCTTAAATGCAGATCCACCTGCTTGCAAAGTTATTGTTGTCTACACCGACGACAGCACCTCTGTGCAAATGTGATTCAGCAAAGCCAGAGCAGTGACCCTGGAAGCCTCTCAAGTATAAAAACAAAACTTCATCAACCGTTTTTCATGCACCAGCTTCAGCAGGGAGCACTTCCCTGAGCGCGTCAGTGCATTTCACTCAGTTCTTCCCTTCTGATGTGTTTGCAGGAGTCTGCAAATCCAGTATCTGGGACCTACAGAGACAACTGCTGAGTCAGATTTTCAGGTCACTGACAGTAGTGGGGCCCATATACACAACTAATCCTCCATCCACAAATGCCCGGTCAGGCTCTTTTCACAGCACACATGGAAACTAACCCCTGACAATCCCCTTTAACCCCCAACTATCGATGTGCACTAGCAGGCACGCCTCATTCAGCAGTTAATACACCACCGCCTACTAACTGTTACACTTCCATAAAAATACAGAAGTTAGCTTAAACTTACAAATCAGTATATGAAAAAAGTTTCCAAATGTCCTTCAGAACAAAGACAGACGCTTTGATCCCATCACGAAGAGCCTGCGCTTCTTTTTCCTGGTTGATGACCACAAACTTCAGTTTCTGAGTTTGGCATCTCTGCAACTACTCCATCCACTACGTAGCTTCTTGCGCCGCACGCCATGCATACCTATGCTGTGACTAAAGTCTGGTTCAGAGAATATTTATGCCACTAGCATACCTCTCATTCCTCTCAGAAAATTAGAAATAGAATTTATTTTTTATTGGAGAAAAAAAGATCAGTGCAAACTTACAGACAAATTATTCGGACTTTCTTTAGAGATTTTAAAGCTCCAAAAGTCCAGAGTACAGTGACTGTTACACATCAATATCACTTTCTTTAAACAAATAAAAAAGCAGCAGCAAATATAATGAGAGACACTTGGATACTGTTTGTTTCTGACTTCGGGATTTGTGACACCAAACTTAGGACAGTCAGTGTATTTAAGAGCCAATCAAATACATTTCCTTTGTTAGCACAGTGACAAAATAAATCTCATTATCAAGTGTTATCAGTAGTACGACTGGCATGTCAGGGGACTGCTTACACAGCCAAGTGTCATTTCTTTGTCCTTCTTGTGTAAGTGAGAGTCAAAGAAATGTAGTCCCATTGTTATGCGCCTCAGTGAAGGTATGCTGTCACGCAGTTTCTACGAAACTAAGAGCAGATAACCGAGGAGCGACTCTGCGCTGGGGCACAGAAGCCTTTGAACAGCTTCTCTTTTAATGAAGTCAATGAGATTTTTTTTTCCAGACTAAAATCTAATCTTTTCAAAGTGCCTCACTTACCTCTCATCCAGTCGACAACTTGCTTTGGCGTCCACTTGGTTATCGGCTCCATGGTGTGCTCAGAATAAAATCAGAGAAAGAGAAATGAGCCGAAATGTGGCGGCGCTGATGAAGAACTCGGAGAACTGTTTTCTGTCACATTCTTCGCTCCAGCTTCGCTCTCAGCGTCTGTTTGTGTTCACCAAATGAACAACTGTGCGCACACTCGACCGGGAGGCTGGACTGAAATCCCCCTCAGGTCCTCACCGCTCGGGTTGGGATTGATGCGGCATTCACGTACTGCCGGGAATACTCGGAAAAATCACAATTATTCCTTAAATGCCCAGTGAGCCCCGGTGATTAATAAAACACTGATACACTTAACAAATATCACAGTTTATATTTTCACATAGTGCAGATGCCTTCATAATAGTGCTTACGTATCAAAAACTAATACCGAGATATGAATTTCGTTACCATTGCATCATGTTTTTCTTTTTTTCTTTCTTTCTTTCTTGTAATAAACCAATTTTACAATTTTCTAACCAAAAACCACCAGAACGCCCGAGTGGTGATATGAATTTACGGAGAGTACCTGAACGCACCGTATGATGTAGGTAGTTTCCGTGTGTTCGCCGCCCTCATTTGAAAGTGGAGGCGTGAAACAGTGCTGACCGCTTTGTGTTGTGTTGCTTCAGGAGAAAAAGGAAAATACAGAACAATGTGAACAATCATAATAAAAATAGAACATTTTCCTCCGTTTGTGTTGAGCACTTGAAAGGCCTCATAGATATGATTAAGCTATTGACCTAATGTGACACTAGCTGAATTTGTTCTCTTATATTTGAATGAGCAGTCGTCAAAATACAACATCGTGATACAAACAGGAGCAGCAGAGCTTTGCTTGTGCTTTCCTGGAACCTGAACATGACTCGGCACTGCTCTCTGCTGGTGTCTTGCTTCTTTGCAGCGTACACTCTGCACGCATCTCTTTATGCACACGCAATAATATAAATTAATATTCCCCATTAGCTCATTTAGAATGGACACACTTGTGCAGTGCAGAGAAAATGAAGTGCAGGCTACGTTGGGTCTGATGAGGGAATCAGTTACTTGCGATATTGTTCTTTTTCTCTCAAAAATTATTTTAAGAGCAGAAAATGACCTTTTAAAAGGGGAATTTAAATGCAGAAAAATATTATCAGGACTATGCTGAAGGTCTTCCTTTAAAAATCTTTATTTGTGATTTTTTTTTTTTCTTGCATGACAGAACTGGGACATATAATAGGTAACATGATGCAGACTGGGATTGGACAAAGCAGCTGGTTCAGTGGGTTTACAGTGCTGCAACAGGTGGACACTGCACAACAGCACAGAAAGCGTAAAGGTCACGTTATGGGGAATGTGTATGTTTAAAAGTTTGAGCCAGGGGATATATAAAATTTGACCTTTCGTGGGAAAAAAGGTGCAGCATCGTGGTGGCTGCAGTACAGTGTTGCTTCTTTGTTGTGAAGTTGTGTAACCCTTTTGTGATTTTTTTTATTTTTTAGAAATTTATAAAACCTCTCAGTCAAACTCCAGCGAGCGACCTTACAAAGAAAACAGCACTGCTTGCTTCTTTGTTTTCTAACCGTTTCAAACACACCTAGAAAGAGTTCGGGCCCTACCCATCAATCCACTATTGTGCAGCTGCACACTCTGCTCTCTAATCAGCTCAGATTAAAGCTCTGCTGTTATTAAACTGGGGCATTCATCAATTTGCTGTCACACATAAACTGGATGCCACAATACACTGTTATACAACTCTCGATTTGCCTGGTCTTCTGTTCTTTGGTCAGACGTGCTGCTTTCCAAAATATAGTTTGAATCCAACCCCTCTCTTTGGTTCACATATAACTAAACCTCTTCATCATCTCTGCATCATAAATATTTCTGCCTCCAGCAAACAAAAACCTCCTCGATTTACATGCGAGTGGTCCGGATTGAAGAGGATTTAGATGGTGTGGAATTTGGGGAATGGCCTCTCGATAGGATTAGGGGAAAGACTGGTGAAGCCGAGGAATCAAAAAAGTGATTTGAAAAGATGTTGGACTGGAAGGAGAGTCAAATTTTCTTTGTTGCAGGTCAGAAATGCAGAAATGCTTTAGAGGAGGAGCTGCAGTACGTACAGTAGTCTGGATCTGCTTAAACACAAAGTTGTCAAATGATTAAAAATCCCGCAAAAAACCAACTCTCTCCTTTGTTTTCTGAATCAACATTTATTTCAGTCTCCAAATACAGGAAGTCCAGTTTTGGCAGAGTATATTATTCTGGCATTTACATTAAAACCAAGCTAATAACATCATATAAACAAAGACAGGCACATGAAACATCAGCACAGGAAGTCATCCACTTCACCTAAGATGAGAGGATATAAAAGGCTAAAGATGTTGTTTTAGTACAAATTAACCACACTTCCTGCTACTTGTTTAGGTTTGTTCTCTAAACAACAGGTTTAATATAGGAGGGGAAATTTCGCACAGTGTGGCATGTGTGTCGCCATATACTCAATATGTTTGGTAGCAGCTGTGTGGGTGGTCTGACTATATTTCTCACACAGCATGCCCGACTGGGGATTCTGAATGTCATCAAATGACTATAAGCAAGTGTTTGAGGGCATTCCAAAAGCAATCCATAATGAAATTATCTCCAATTTAGATCTTAGCGGCTTCATTTACTTCATTGTTACTGAGAAAGTGTGTAAAATGAAAACTGTTTTTAACACAGCGCTGCTCTTATTTCGATTTTTTGAGGCGTGGTAAAGATCCTCGATGTTAGTGTTGGCGCTGAGATGAATCCTCGCGGTATAAGGAAGGCCTTTGACTGATACAAAGAGAGCAGTGTTGCAGAAACACACTGATGGTCCTTTGTGCTCGGATTGTTGCTGGGGGCTTGAAATGAAGAAGCTATGAAGCCTTAGTCTCTCTGATGAGCCTCATCTTTCATTTTACACGCATACAACTTTCAGACTTTCAAAATAAAAATGCAGGTTAGATCAATATTTCTAAAGATCATCTATGGAAAATGTTCTCTACAACAAGCACTCGTCTGATGCACACAATTTAACCCTTTTATCTCAGTCATTAAGTTAAGCAGTACATATGCGTCTCAGTATATAAATAGAGGTTAATGCAGCGTATGCTCTGTGTCTTTAAAGTGGCAGCTGAGGATCTTTACTACAGTGAGACATCAAAGGATGAAGGGTTTACAGGGAGCTTTAGGGGGCATTCTGTGGATTTGAAGGAACGGTGGGTCTGGCGCTGAGGTACTCCAAAACAAAAACCTGCAGGATCTTATTGAGGTTCTCAATAGTGGAACGGTCCAGGTTTTGCTCGTTGTCATCAAACGTGTGCCACACAGAGGGAAAGGGGGAGGGGATAAGGTGAAGGACCCGAACACCTGGCAGAGAGGCACATTATGAGGATCACCAAAGAGAACAACACAGTAAGGGAAACTGCTGATTTAGTTTTTGTGTTGCTTGAGGGTCATACCTCTGTTTAGGAAAGGTATATGGTCATCCAGCACATGGCCCACGTGGTGATTTGGCCAGAAATACTGCACGCTGTTAGGATGGTCCACCAGCTGGCTCATGGAGTGAAGACGCTTTTCTAAGTTTAGAAAAGGCAGAGCAGAAAATAAAAAGTTCAAAGGTTAGTGAAAACACCTCACATGTTAATTATTAATAGTAAAAAAATAATAATAATAAACAATTTGCTGTATTTTCTTCTTTCAGCTACTCATCTGCTTCTGTTTCCTCCTCTATCACACCAACCCTCTGCATCTCCTCCTTCGATACCTCCTCTCAGGTCTTCCTCTTTTCCTCCTGGTCCATATTTAGCAACCTTTGTCTTTTATCTCTCCTCTGCACATGCCCAAACCATCTCAGCCTTGTCTCTCTAACTTTGTCTCTAACTCCTCTCTCCCTGCACCAATCAACATGGCTGTATCTGTCAAGGTACGGCTGCGTGGTGGCAGGATGTAGGACCCAAACACAGGATTTACAACACGGGAAGTTAACTGAAAACGGCAGCTTTATTGCTGGAAATAATTCTACACATTTACAGAAACCATCCCAAAAACAAGGAACTGGAAACCAGAGAACTAGGAATTTACTAGGAGCACAGCGGCAACACGCAGAAAAAAGGATTTATGACATGACAAAGACAGAAGAAAACACAGGGCTTAAATACACACGGGAGTAATGAGGGAAACAGGAGGGAAACACGGCTGGGACTAGTCAGACACAACGAACGGGGAGGGAGCAAAACTGAATACACTGAACACAGAACAAGAAACTATCAAAATAAAACAGGAAACGTGAGATCTTCACTGTGACAAGGAGACATGACTGACAAGGGGAATCAGACATGAAACATGGAGACAAGAGTAACTAAACGTGGAACACAGGGCAGGCATAGCGACGGAAAACTAGAGACTAGAAACTGAGCATATAACACACAGAGACACAGACTTAAGGAGACACAGCTGACAGGGAAGACAGATGAGTAAACATGGAGACAGAACAAAACCTAAACTATAGACGTGGAAGGCAAAGAAACAAAACCTAAGAACTTGTAATCACAAAGAACTTTGGAAGCTAGAAACACAAAAGACTAAACCCCGGAAAGCTCTAAATCTAAACACTGGGTCACCAGGCCCAGGACCGTAACAGGATCCATGCAGGTTAACTAGTTTCCATTAACAACCCTTTAAGCCACAAACCCATGACTGTTATCACATTAATTTATTCATAATCTCATTGAAATGTTGCAATTAAAGGATAATGTGTTACAAAGGTGAATAGCTTCTATATGGTGATGACTAACAAGACTCATGTAGCTGCTAATGTTTGGTGATCACTCAACCTCGCTGCACCAAAGACAGCATATTATACATAAAGCATTAGTGAATGATTATTCACCGATGTGCTGAAGTCTGGAGAGCCAGGCTGTTGTGCTTGGAAACTGGTTGCCAAAGCGAGGACTGGGAGCGCCGATCAAATCCAACAACACAAACAGATCCTGGAGGAGCAGAGACAGGACGGGATGAATGATGCCCATCTCTCATGAGAAACTCTGTCTACACACCCCGGCGGTAATTCCCCGTTAAGCAGCTCATTCCCATAATAATCACACCTCAGCGGTGCTGCTTTGAGGTGATTACATCACGTGCTCCACGGTGCTGCACATAAAACACACCAATCTGTCTTTCTGTCTGTCTACACGCATGCACACACACGCTCACACACCAGCA